ACTTTTATTTAATAATTATGATTATATAATTTAATATAATTTAAATTATATACTTTTTTTAATATATAATAGACAAACAAAAGGAGAAAAAAAAATAGAGAAGAGGGGCCCATCGGCATCATCACTAATTTCCATGTCTCTTTTCTTAATCACAAAATCATAATGTTGGTCCTCAACTTTGAAGATTTTGTACTTTACATCTTAAGTTTCAAAATTTTACAATTTCATCCTCAATCTCACCACATTCAACTTCATAAAACATTGTGAGTTAGTTCTAAATTTTTTATTTTTAAGAGTTAAGTACTATCTGCGCAAATAATAGAAATAATATAAAATCAGGTAAAAAAATTATATCAAACCCATTCAAAGTATTAATAAAATAAAGACTAGTTTCTATCATATTATATATTTAACAATTCAACTTATCAAGAACTATAAAAAAATTTAGTAAATTTTGTATTGAAATTTTTTTAAACTTTTGTTGAGTTGTTAATACTAAATATCTTTTAAAAAAATAAAATACAATAATACCAAAAGAAGGATTATAATGATGATAGTTAAAAAAGCAGTAAAGGGGTACATTAATCCTAAGATATAAATGTAAGTAAAAAAGAACTAAAAATATAATGTTAAGGAATTGTGTCACTTATATTCTAATCTAAAATATTTTTGATAGAAACAAATAAAAAATGTCTAATTGTCATAACTTAATTTTTTGACTTAATATTTATTTTTAAGTTTTTTATAAAAATTCAGTGGTCATCTTTTGTGTGTCTTAATATATTTAATTTTTGTGATATGGGCTTATTCACATGAAGATACTAAGATGAAGAACCCAAGAAATGGAGAATGGAAAATTTTCCGACAAAAAAAAACAAAAAAACAAAAAAAGGAGAAGAGTAGGGCATGAACGGGCCACTATACTTGAACCCAATTTTGACTTCCTTGAAGCAGTACTTGGAGAAAAAAGCCAAATCTCCCCATCAACTCCGTCCTCAACAGGCTCATGTGTATTTTCATTCACAACCATAATGTGAATTCCTTCTTCTTCATATCTTGCAGCAAGCCTTGCACTTGGTAAGAGCTTGCTATGAGAAGGAAAAGTGGAAAACCAACAGAATTCGCCGAGCTGTTGTTGTTTCTCCAGGCTGTTGATAGCAAGGTGCAATTCTCTGCTAAGCCATATATTTAATTTATATTTAATTAATTGTTTCATTAAAATGACTCATATAATATTAATAATAAAATTAATGTCAATATTTATTACTTTTATATCAATTAAAACAATAAATATATTAATTATATTCTTAATTTATATCTTTGAAATACATGTTAAAAATAAAATAAATATATTTTTTTAATTAATTTACATAAAAATTGTAAAAATTGATATTTATTTTAATATTATTAATA